TGCGAGTTTATTTGTGTACCAGAGTGGCAGGGGGTCTTGTGGCAACACTCAACTGCCAAAGGCACATGTCTTTGGGACAGCAGGAGTAAAGCAATGATAAGAATGGTCTGACACATGTAGACCTATGGTACTGACAGATTAGCATGGTATTCTCAGAAGTGAAGGACTCAGGAAAGCTACTAAATTTTTACTAGATTTATATAAGCAGAAAATTGTAAGGGAAAATGAACAGAAATTAAATTGTAGTAACAGAATCATAGTCCCACAATCACTCCTCAGATTTCAGCCAGTTTACAGACCAAAACCCCTTGAATGGTCCTCTTGAGGAAGGACCTTGGTGCACTACTGAATATTTGCACTATCACTCTTTCTCCCATCCTGCCCCAAAGGGACTTATGGCCCTTTACCAGGTTACTATACACTGGGAAAGGGGAAATGATCAGATATTTTGGGGACTACTGGACACTGATTCTGAACTAATGCTGATTCCAGGGAAAGAAAATTTTCATTGTAGCCTTCCATTAAGAGTAGGGCTCTATGAAAATCAGGTGATTAATGGAGTTATAGCAAAGGTCTGACTCATAGTAGGATTAGTAGGTCCACAAATCTGTACTGTCATTATTTTCCCAGTTCCAGACTGCATAACACAGATAATATTCTTAATAATTGGCAGAATTCTCACATTGGTTCCCTATCCTGTAGTCTAAGGGGTCTTATGATTGCAAATGCTAAATAGAAGCTAATAGAATTGCCTTTACCTGGGAAAATAATAAACCAAAAACAATCTAATGTGCAGGATAAGTTGGTGCATATAGCTGTGCAGGATAATTGTACCAATTAAATTTAAGTATGAACTTGCTCTGGAGACTACATCTGGTTTGAGATGTAGTTGGTTGTCAAATTAACAAGGGGTGGATTGTGATAGTTAATTGTGTTGTCAAGTTGAATAAGAAATGCCTAGCAGATTGGTTTAGCAGTTCTTAGTGATGATTGACTTACTGAAGATAAAAGTCCCACCTTTCATGTGGGTGGGACAACTAATACGCTCCTAGCCTGGATGAAATAAAAAGGTGAAAAAAGAAGGCTCACTTCTTAAAAGGTGATCCAATTTTTGCCATTGCTTTTGGACATCTGTCTCCAGGATGGAGCACAGACTCTTCAGACTTCCAATACAGATCCTTTGGCTTCCTGATATGAACTTGCAGTGCACTCTGCAGTGAGCTCCAAGTCTGACTTCTGACTGGTTCCTCCAGATCACCATCATGCAGATGGCTCTTTTGCATTCTTCCACACTGCAGATGGCCAATGTAAGCCTACCTTATAAATCCTTTATATATCATATATTATATATTAAATCAGTTTCTCTAGTGAACTCTGATAGTATTTATCTTGTTACTAAATTGTTTCAAGATTCTCATTAGATCTGTCAAATATAGTTAGTTTTTAAAAGGTTTTGTCCAGTTCATCTAATTCACTTGTTTCTAGATGAGACTTTTAAAATAATTGAGTCTTAATTGAGTGCCTCTTTTTGCACTATTTATATTTTTCTTCTGTAAGTTGCTGATGTCATAGATTATGTGAATTGATTTTTAGAAGTTAAACCAGTCTGCACATCTAGAATAAAACCTACCTGGTCATGACATATAATTTTTTATTCACTGCTTCATTTGATTTTTTTTGATATTTTTGATTTTTGATAATATTTATATTCCTATTTGTCTGCATTTTTCTTATAATGTTGTTTCAGCTTGTGTCTAAATATTCCCCCAAAGCCTCATATAGTCATGGAGGTGGGCTTTTCAGAGGTGGCTGGATCTAGGGTAATAGTGGGGCTAAGGATGTGTAATTGCTAAATCAGTCCACTTACTGGTGTGGCACAGTTCTGGGTGATAATAGGATGGCCCACTCTGAATGTGGGCAGCACTAGCCAAATGGCAGGTACCCCTGTAGAGATTAAGGGAGAGGTAGACTACTGCTGCTTGCTGCCTTCTGCCCACCATGAACTATTTTCTCCTCTGTGATGCCCCTCTGCCATGCCACTCTGCCTTGGAGCCAGCCAACTATAAACTAAAACCTCTACAAAATGTGAGCCAAATAAACTTTTTCTCCTTTGAGTGTCACATATTTTGTCTCAGCAATGAGAAAAGATAAATGTCATTGCCCCTTTTTGGTATTACAGTAATGCGGGACTTAAAAGAATGATATAGGTAATATTCCCTTTGCCTCTCTCTTCTGGAAGAGAGAGTAAATAATGCTATGATGTCTTCTTTAAATGTTTGGTAGAATTCATCACTGAACTCACCTGGAATGGGTATTTTGTTTGCTGAAGTTTGATTACTGAATCAATTTTTACAGTTGATATACACCTATTCAGACTATTTCTTCTTCAGTCAGATTTTGCAGATTCTTTCCACAATTGATTAATCTGGGTTGTAAAATCTGAGGGCATAGAATTGTTCACAATGTAATTTTATCCTTTAAAGTGCAAGAGATCTGTACTGTCTTTTATCTGATTTTAGTTATTTGTATCTTTCCTTTTTTTTTTTTTTTTCCTAGTTAAGCTAACCAAAGACTGATGAATTTTACTGATATAGTGAAAGAACCAGGATCTGGCTTTATTGATTTTCTCTGATTCCCAGTTTTACATTTTATTGATTTCTGTCCCAATTTTTATTATTTACTTTCTTCTGCTTACTTTGAATGCTTTTTTGTTTCCAAAAGATTACTGATTTTACATTTTTTCTAATATATGCAATAAATAGTCTAATTTCTAAGAACAATACTTGCTGCATCCTGCAGTCCACAAATTTTGATAAGTGGTATTTTAATTTTGTTGTAATTCAAAATAGTTTTTGATTTTTAAAAATTTTCTCCATGTTGAATTTTCCAAGAGTATTAAAGATTCCAACTTTTTGGGCTAGTCTGTTTTCTCTTTGCAATTCTATCTCTTTCTTTTTGTGTCTCAGATATCTTTACACAATGTCGTTAGGTATGCATTTAATATTGCTGTATCTTCTTGGTATATTGACTCCTTTATCATTGGTTATGCATTTTAAAAAAAATCCTTATAACTTCATTTGTTCTGAAGTGTGCTGTCTGAAATAAATGTAACAATGGCTGGGCATTGTGGCACATGCCTGTAATCCCAGCACTCGGGAGGCTGAGGCAGGAGGATCGCAGTGAGTTCGAGACCAGCCTGGGCTACATAGTGAGTTCCAGGTCAGTCTCAACTACATAGTGAGACCCTGCCTCAAAAAACCAAAAATTAATTAATTAATGTAGCAACTCCCTTTGTTTAGTGTTATTGTGGTATTTTTCCATTCCTTTGCTTTTAGTTTATGTCTTTATATGTCAAATAGCTGAGTTTTGTTTTCTGCAAATAGCTGAGTTTTGTTCTGTTCCACTCTAATAATCTCTGTTTTTAAGTGGTATATTTTTATTAGTGACATTTAAAGTCCTTATTGATATATTTGGAGTAATTCTTATTTCTATTTGATGCCCTTGTTCTTTATTTCTATTATAATTTTGGCACTTTGTGTGATTTTAATTGAGCATTTTATATGTCTACATTCTCACACACTCAATTTTGGGGGAAAAATCATGCAACCCACCATAGTAAGTGAAGACTCACAGTCAGATTTAATTTGTTAGGAAAACTAAGTGCTGTATTTCTCCTATGTTTCAAGGAGAAAATGAATAATTATTATATGTATCTTGTTTCATCTTTGCTTTGAAAGACATATGTGCCATTATTTTTGTAATCAGAACAAATAATACACTTTAGAAATGGGTAACAGTAATCATTCTAGTGTGTCATGAAGTTATTGAGAGTAAAGAAGTGGTGTGTTCAAATAGTTGTGAAAGCCAGATGAAAAGTGGTTCAGAATTGGGCCTGGTGGCACACATCTATAATCCCAGCACTCTGGGAGGCTGGGACAGGAGGATTATAAATTCAACAAGCTCAGCCTAAAATATTTAATGAATTAGCAAGACTCTGTTTTAAAATTTTAAAAATCAATAGAAAGATAATGACCCTGAGGCTGAAATTCAGTGTGAAGGCACTGGATTTTTTTCCCCTAGTCCCAAGGCTAAAAATGGCAAGGAGAGTATGGGAAATTGAAACAGTGATTACAAGCCTCATTTGGCAAACTAGTCAAGGGAAGAAAAGAACCAATAAATTACAAGAACAAACATTTGCCACACAACTCTGAATAAAGTTTATTAAATAGTATGTACAACAAAAGTAGTAATTCAACACATGTATTTATGAAATCCACCTCAATAAAGAAAAATAAATGAACAAAAAAATCTGTGTCTGCATAATACATGCACTCAGTGTGTAATTTAAGTGGAACACTTTAAATTGGTTATATATGCCAACTGCTTTTCTTTCAGAATATAATCTTTTTGTAGCAACCTATTCTAACAATAGAACTTAATACAATTGAAGATAAATTAAGACTACAAAAAATCCATCCATGAAATGAAATTTTTAAAAATTATAAATGAGATTATACTTTCTCTTTCCAAGAGAATAAATTGTAAATTTTAACAGTGTATGATGGCCATTTTTGTGCTAAAAGCCTGTAGGTGAGTTATTTGGAATTATTTCATTTAAATAAAAAGGCAAAAAACTTCATGACTCCCTTTCATTCAATTTTTAAAATTATTTTTTATACAAGGTAGGTACCTGGGCTATACAAAGTTAAATATACATATTTACAATCCCACTTCTCAAGCGCATGATTGATTTTTTTTCTTTTTTTTTCTTTTTTTTTTTTTTTTTACTGATCCCAGAGAGACTGCAAAAGGTAAGTAGTTTGGGCTTGCCTTTGCCTGGAAGCATGGCTAATATATCAAAATGTGTTGCAAGGCGTGCGTCAGTTAGTTGCACTGGCTGTAATAAACCTATAGAAACATTTCAGCATAAAAATAGGTACTTTATATTACTAAATGTCTGAAGACAAAAGAGGAATTGGAAATATTTGTTCCTTGTTTTGTCATACATAGGAAGCGAAAGTCATGTATTTTAACATGTTATTTTATTAAAGATGGGCAAATTGGTGAGACATACCTGGATTTTGGGAGATATACAAAGATGTGAGGCTGACATTATATGCAAATGTGCCTTTACAAATTGGTTTTATTCTCTAGCTGTACTTAAAGAGGTGTTCAAAATTACCTACTTAATCAAGAAGCACCTCTTAAAAGCTTATTATATTAGATCACATTATTAATAGTTTGCATCTAAGAAAGATCAGGAAACACATTAGCCAATACAAGGTTTACATTCCAAAATGGGTGTAATGCTGCTGTGCAAGACGCACATGCACATGCATTCCCTCAGAACGAAAGAAAAGTAAAACAACAGTGCTCTTGAATGGTGGAGCAGACCTTCCAAAGCAGTATGTCTTACTGTCTGTCACTGAGACTTAAAGAAAACCATGAAAGCTCTTTCTACCCAGCAATCCCCTTCCCTAAATTCCACAGTCTTTTCCCATAGCATTAAGGCTCTGCTCCATCCTACTTAAAAACAAATATCTCTGGGAAGAGGTAACACATTTCTCTTATGAGTCATTTACATTTTGGTTTCTTCCTGAGAGCCTCCTTGAAAGAAGGATATGAAGAAGGTTCAGTACTGCAGCTGACTGGTGGGCAGTGGTGGGATCCTAAGATGGGCATCTGGGACAGCAGCTGAGTTGGGGCACTGCAGACAAATGCTGCCTACTTGTAAAGATTCCAGAGTTTAGGACACTGATTCTATGGCAATTCTTAGATATATATACAAAGATTCAGGATTTCCAGTACACACATGGATAACAGAATTCCTGCTCCTATTTGTGACCTAGGATGTGCATTTGTGGGGCTGATGAGAATACAAAGGCTCTGAAAATCTTCCAAGTACTTCCAGCCACAAACTACCTGGGACAAAGGTTCTCCCAGCATCCTAGTTGTTAAAAAATGAGTTAATGGAGACAGAAACACAATGATGCTTTCTAGGATCCCTCCAGGAGAAACTCATCTCTTCCTCTCACACTTTCCTAGCACTTAACACAGTCTGTCTTAAGGTCCTTTTCTCTGTGTGTCTCCCCAGTCACTTCCAAGTTCCTGGCAGTCAGGGAATGTTTCAATTCCATCTTCATGTCACTAAGGGGTCTAACAGAGAAGCCAATAAACATCCTCATCATAATTTGGACATAGCTGTGACTAAGCACTGTGGGTGTCACAGGGCTCCCTCCACTTATCCAGCACCCACCAAAAACAGACCTGGTGACTGCCAGTAGTGGCAGAAGAGCTGCTTCTGCACTCTTCTCATCCCTGAGGGGATGCCTGACCAGATGCCTTAGGATTCACAGTCTTGAGGTCTACATTCTGAATGGCCCTTGAACTCTTCCAGGGAGTAAAACTGGAGACATGGAGTCCTTTAGGCGCAGGTATGACTTACTCATGGGTGTCCCAGGAGCCAATACACAGTGATGCATTTTAAATGAGTCATTACACACCTACACACAGCTCTGGATTCCCTATAAGAATAGGCCTACCAATCCCAAACTGTTTCAGCCAACATGAATCATAAATGAAAGGTTAGCAATAGAGCTCTGATAAATGCAGCTGCACTGCCCTGAAGTTGACTGTTTATAAAAGCCAGTGATATAGCAAAGAAACACACTGCAAGTGGCCTCCAGAGCTGCAGGACTCCTTGACATAATCATGTGGAAAAATGAATATAACATTTCTGCCTGGCCACTTATTCCTCCAATCTCAGGATGAACCTTGTGTGCTTCTGTCTGAACATCACGGCCATCTACAGCAAAGCTGCACAACAGTCTCTATGTACAGGGTTGCTAATTTGCCTCTGCTTCCTCCCCTGGACCTCAGGGGATAGATTTGGACTTGGACAAGTTAGGGGCTTCCACCCCTGATGAAGGACAGCCTGAGCAGCAGCCTACACTGAACCCTAGCAGCACTTGGGGATCAGCTTGCTCCAGGGAAGCTAGGGATGCAGGATGGGATGGCCAAGATGCTCAGGTCTAGTGATCTGGGACATGGCTGGGGACCCAAAGGTTGCTTTAGGCTCAAGGACTCTTTTGCTATAGGGTTTTTAAGGCTGGGCTAACAGGAACCATTTCTACCTAACTCTACTCCTGAACTTTTGTTCAGGTCAGATTACCCACGAGATGGAGGGGAGGGACAAGGCTGGAGCAGCTCCCAGAAACATATAAGTAAAGATAGATTTACCTTAATTGTTTTTGCCCAGCACATATCTCACCCTTGATATACAAGCTTAGCTTTTAAATACATCACTTCTCTATTCCTCTTTTTCACTTCTTATATTATCCACTGTATTACTTTTCATACTGATTCAATATTTAATTTAAATAAAGAGACTGGTGTGTGAATTTTGCTTCATTCTCCAATAAAAATAATCTGAGGGTTTTCAGTCTTCTTATAGATATAAAGGTTTTACATAGTTGCCTGGAAAAGTGCCAAACTGCCTGGTCCTTCTTGAAGTACCTATTTAAAAAAAACACACACAAACACACGTACACAAAATGAGAAGACTACCCACTGAGTTCAGGGACAATGCTGTTGAAATAGATTTCTGCCTGAGTGTTTCTTATAAAAGTCCTATAGTTTATAAAAGAGTGTATGGTTTCCAAAGCACATTCCCCTATCTTATCTCATTTATGCTGGGTAATAACTAAGATAGGCATTTTTAATATTCCTGTTTTTCAGAAAAATAAGCCCAGGTTCAAAGAGCATAAGCAACTTCTGAGGTCCCTTAATTTAGTAAGTGTCAGAGATAAAATCTGAATACAGGTCTCTTGGCTCTTAGTTCACTGCTCTTACAAATATTTCTGCTTTTTGAATTACTTCGTACATTTACTCAACACCAAAAGATACCTAGGATTTAGAATTTCTGAAGGGGAAGGGAAACAGCTTAACAATATTCTTTTCATCTATATATAAAAAAAAAAGAATTTCTAAAGGGTAGGATTTGTAACAGTCCCCTAAAAATGAGTACATAGCAAAAGGACATTCCAGCAGAAACCTGGACCAAAGCCTGGTTCTTTGCTTTTGCTACCAACCTTGTTAAGGTCCGCGTGAGCCAGGATCCCTGAGTCCTCTGCAACAAAGCCCTTCTTGGGCTGCTCCTTACCCACATCTATTAGGTCCTTTATCTTGTCCCTTCCCTCCAGAGTCTTCACAGCATAGGGGCTGATTTATGTTGTATTTTAATTATTCTCTCATTGGGCCAGGAATTTAGCTCAGTGGTGCCGCCACCTGTCTCTCATTAATCTCTCATTTTAAAACATCATGTTTTGATCACTGCCTTTTCTCAATTGGCTTAGATTTCACTTTAGAGTCCTGCTGCTATATACAACAGCTCCTGCAGCCATAACCAGTGGGCTTGGATCCTTGTGAAAGTGAAACTTCTAAGCAAAAAGAACATGTCGAGGCTAAAGTCACGTAAGACATCTACTTGAATCCTGAAGGAGGATGATGCAGAAAACTGGGATGGTAATACCCAGAGCTGGTAAGGAACTCATACATGCTCATCCCGAAATATTTCCTATATTCAGTGGTGTAGGGTACCTCTATTAAAAGGCAGTGCCCCTCCCCCTACTATTTAAAAGTGGAAATGCCCTCAGAAGAGTTTAATAGCTAACACATACTAGTCCTTAACTCTCTAATATCACAGCTACATGTGGCAACAACAAATGAAATATGGCTAGGCTAAAATGAGCTTTCCATGACATCAGTGAGCTGAGCTTTAACTAGAAAACATATACTGGATTCTGAAAGCTTGCTATGAAAAGAATGTAAACTAACTAATCAATTACATTGATTGCATGACCAAATGGTATATTAAATGCACTGAGTTTATAAAATATATTAGAATTAATTTCACTAGTTACCTTTTTTTCAACATTGCCTCTAGAAATTTTTAAATTTCCAACATGGCTTACCCAGTATTTCTATTGCATTGTACTGCACTAGAATGGATGCTGTCTCCTTAGATCTGACTTTCTTCTGAAAAAAACAACCCAAGGTAGTGAGGGCCTCAGCTTTTGGGAGCTTGGGGAACACGGGCTCACTTTCTAAGATGCTGCTGAGGCTAAGACAAGCCGTTCTGTCTTCCCATGCATGCTGAGGACTTGGTGTTCTCATTATTGCACTTGGACATTGCTTTAGGAAATCTTTTCCAGAGAGATCAGGGAAGAGCTGGTCTTTGGAAAAGGAAAAATTAAAACAAAGTGGAAATCAGTGGCTCCTAACATTATGCTCATAACTGAGAAGAAATAAAGTGGACTTAGGGATATATGGGCAGCCTGAGCTCACAATTTGATTCCAGAATTTGATCCCACAATTTGCTACTTGAGTGATCTTTAGATAATTACTTAATCTTTTTTGGCCCTCATTTTTGGAATCATTAGATGAACATAAATCTTGATTTACAGGGATGTTTGTTGAAAGAATGTCACTAAACGTACATCGAGCGCTCTTCTTCCTATAATGATGAATTCTTTGTTACTGTTTTGCAGTACTAGGGGGATAGAACCTAGAGTCTTGTGCTTGCTAAGCAAATGCATTGCCACTGAGCTACATCTCTAGCCCTGCTTTGTTTTAATGAAGTAAGTTACCCTTAGAATAAAGTTATTAGAAGTCTGGAGTAAGTAAGAAGGTCTTTGGAATATCCACACATATACTTGAGTTTCATGGTAGGCATCTAGCCTTCATCAGAATTTTGAATTGTTTCATAAAACCTCTAAAAATAAAATTTAATTAATAACAATAATGAGTTTGATAATTGCCCTTCCATTCAGCAGACATTGTTATGTTTAGTTTGTAGCCCTAACATTAGTAACATCAATACCATCTCTGCCGCAAACAGGCTGGGTGGTATAGGAACAGGAAAGGCTTTTCTTTCTGTACAGAGAAGACTGTTTCTGCATGGCTTGCCACCTCTCATTCTTCCCTCAATACACAAGTAGAAAAAGGCATGATAATATTCTTACCAACAAACCATCCATCATCACACTTTTCCATGACATCAACAATATCTCCATCTCGGAGTTCCAACTCATCATCATTCTGTGGAGTGTAGCTATATAATGCTTGGTAGCTAAATCTACAAATGAGAAAAATGAATAGTGATTGACTCAAACGCTGACAAGATGAAATAGTGAGTTTTAGAACTCCATTTCTGTTAGAGCAACATTTAATGCTATATCTTCTCATTTGCATAGCTCAATTCTGCCAACTCCTCCTCTGGTGCACGTGTGCTTAAGTCTTGGCTTTGTCCATAATGTTCCTTGGTTTGTACCTCCTACTCCCATTCAGCAGCAACCTTGCATCAACTCTTTCTAATGGAACATCTCTGTTACCATCTATTAATGTTTCTGTAACAGAGGTCAAAGCTGACTTTTTTAGCTGACAAGAACATGTGCTAGATATTTCTTGTTTCTTACTTCAGCCTCTCAGAGGTAGGGGCACCGCAAATGCCACCTGCTCTGATCTGTGGAACTGAACATTCCTCCTGTTAGCCTGTATCTCTGTGGATAAATAATCTCATATACTTTCATGGGTACAAACAGACCATTCTGTCCTAGCCAAAGTGTTCAATCACTTCTTTACTGGATTTGTATCTTCTAAACAATGATTTTGCCTCTTGTCTCTAAAACACAACTTCTACTCTTTTGTCAGTTATTTTGCTAAAACAAAAATATGATCAATATATTGCTCACTTCAAAAAGCTTCAGTGGCTTCTTTGTAGCTGCAGAATAAAATCAAAACTGCATTATGGAACCTACCATCTGGTCCCATCCTACTTTTTGAGCTTCCTCTCTAACTATCTCCTCCTGTGGTCACACAGGGTTCTTGGGAGTTCTCCAACACTGCCCACTCCATGCCTTTGCATATACGGTCTCATCTGGAAAGACCTTTTCTCTCCTGTTTTAGTGCTCAAGATCCAATTTTCTCTCAATGATTGGTTCAAATCCCCCTTCTTCTGTGAACAGAATTCCCTATATGCATAAAGCACAGGAAATATTCAATAAATTTTTTAATGAAAGAGTTCAAACTTATTTATTCATTTCTGCTCAGAATTAGCTGTTTTTCCCTATGTTCTAAAGAACAGTAGTATTGAACCCCACTAATAAAGCTCTCATTTGCCCTTGTCAATTCTTTTTTTTTTCCCTTGTCAATTAATTCTTTACCAATCTGTCTCCCAGTAGTCCATGACCTCCTTTATTTACGTACCACTGATTTTCAGTGACTGATAGGAAACATGGCTTTAAAAAAAAAAAAAACCTCAGAGAAGCAGAGCATGATTTGCTCATTTCTCCAAATGCCCATTCCCATAACCAGCCAGTGACCTGCTTTCTAAGGCCAAAAGTATGTCAAGAACATAACAACCAAAATTTGTCAAGTGTACTTACAAATCTTGTGAGGTTTGACTCCTATCTGGGGTGACTCTTCGCTGCTGGGCTTGAGGTTGCTGAGAAATGATTAAAGATGGTTTATTGTCAGAAGGGGATACCTTGTGATGAAAGTCAAGGGGATGAGAGACAGTGCTGCAGTAATGAACAGATTTCTCGGCAATGTTTATGATCTCATTGCAAACTGCTTCCTGTGAGGTGGCCCCGACAAATCCAGAAACCCCCATAAAACAGTCAACATGGGGACCAAAAAAAAAAAAGGAGAGAGAGAAGAGATGTAACATTCCAGATGAAGCACGTAAGTCCAGGAAAAAACAGAGTTGAAGATCCAGGTTAAAAAAAAATAGATATTCCAGTAGTAGAGTACAGGAGGGATCCAGGCGTAAGCATGGAAAAACAGGTAAGATACAGAAGAATTTGGAATTTAGTATGAATATTAAAAAAGAGGGGCATCAGTATAAAAGTCTGTAATTAGTGAGCAACTGCTACAAATAGAATAATCTTAGGACAAAAATGCAATTATGTATCCCCAATCATGCACTAATACATTAATTTAATCTCACATATAGGCAGTGTGGAAAAATATTCTCTTTAATTTCTCTGCTTTTTTTTTAGGAGTCACCTAACATTTGGTTCTACTACAATAGCCATAGACTCTTATAAATAATGGCTCTGTGAGTTAACCAGTCATTACTCTAAACTTTGGAGTCAGTAAGGGATTCTCTTTAGAAATACTACCATAGTCTTATTCAACAAGCATCTTACCACATAGCTCTTTTCAGATTCTGTGAGATCAGGTCCTGCTCTCAATGAATGATGAGAAGGCTGTGATCACCAAGCAAATCATAAGGGAGACATTTTAGCAGATGTCACATTGAAAAGGATTCAAAATAAAAGAGTGAGCACATACACATACCGCACCATCACACTCAAGATGACACAGGATACCCGTGGCATACAGCCACTGAGTCTCCAGGACAACAAGGCAGATGTGGAGGAGAAAATGCAAAAGTACAGAGTTAGAAGCAAGCATCGAGGCAATGAAATGGGAAGTGGAAAACATGGCTGCAGTGAGGTGACAATAAGCAACACACGGTCTCCAGATTGGCAGGAGAGAGATATGAAAGGGATATCTTTTGGAAAAGGCATGTCCCTCCATGTGTCACATACAGTCCTTCCCCTTACTCAGCTGGGAAACATTCAGGGAGGGGTTGCTACCCCAAAGCCAGTTTGACCATTTGTTGACTGGGAGCCTCTAGCAGAGCAGGGTTATAAAACTATCAGGTCTTCCATGACTGGGTACTTATAAAAACTGAAAAATACTTTGAAACATTCCCAATTAATATTTGAAGTAGCAAACAAGACAACTTCCTTGGAAAAGCTGCATATCACATACTCCATGAGGTCTGAATGGGGTTCAGAATGTTCAAACAGCAGAGCTTGCTTCCAGAAACAGGAACTCCTATTCTGACACAGGTACAGAGATGAGACTGTCACTCAGCTCAGATGCCACATGTTGGTATGGAAATAGAGGCAATCAGGGCCATGCAGACCACTCCTTTAAGCAGAGCTCTCACAGTGAAGGACGGATCTTTTTTGAAAGACTGAAATAATTTCCCTCAAAGAAGATTCAGCTCCAAACTCTACGAATTCTTTTTGAATAAATGTTTGAAAACTCTCACGGTATCATGCAATAGTGGGCCACAGCAACTCCAGGGCCTTCTAGAAGGGCACTTAGAAATGTCTGTATAGGGCCCACTTGATTCATAGAGAAGCCCGCAGATTGTGAGGGGCTCCTCTGAATTTACACAGCAACTGAGCATAGATGTGTCTCCTGGCTTCCACTACTGTCCTGCTTCATCTCTTTCATCCTCAAACTATCTTCCACCTTATCAACTGTGCTCCCCACATAATCATCAACAAGTCTCCCAGAAACACTAGAGAAAAGCAGGACAAGGTGATCTTTCTGCTTTCTCCAGAGGGTTTAGTGAATTCCTCACTATCACGTGGAGAGTGAGAGGTGGAGCTGCTTGCTCTTTCCACCCTACCACATCGTTTACTCCTCCTTCCCACTGTGAATGTCCTCATCTCTTAGCATTCTCTGCATAACCATTTCCCTCTAAGCATCACTGCTAGACTCTCTTTTTTGAGAAAGTCTCTGGTTCTCCAAATCTCCTTCAAACTTTGACCACTGAGGAGTCCCCTTGGACTCTGGCCACAGTAAAGGAAAAGGTAGAACCAAGGTCCACTTCATGCTCCTTCAACAGTGTCTCGGGACTTGCACACCTTTGCCCTGTGGCTAGGAGTTGATCCGTATGGCTCCACTCATCACCAACCATCCTCTGATCAAGGCACGCATGTAACAAAGGGGAGAAATGGACATTTCCAAGCACCTGCTGCACGGGCTTTCCAAAGAATGAAACACAACTCGGGACACTCTGAGCAGCCTAACAGAACGGGCAGCTTTCTAAAAGTGAGCACTGTTCAAAAACTAGAGTAGCTATCTCTGAGGAAATGAGTTGCCTGGTAAGCAGCTATGGGATTTGAAACCTCTGTTAAATGTTGTTAGTTAAGATATTATGGAGCAGTACATCTCAAGCTCTAACGTAGGGAGATATCACGAGGGAACTTGCTGAAATGCAGACTCTGGGTTTCTATTTGGAGGTGCTGGCACTACGGATTCTCAAACTAATTTTGGGAAACAAAGTTGCAGAGGACCTCAATTACCTCATACTGAGATTATGCCAAGACAGATCTGGTCACACTTCATGAAAACAGAAGTTTCTCTCTGTGTCTCTGTCTTCCCCACCCCCCATTTTCCAAATCCTTATTAGATTTAATCATCTAGCTAATAGTTGGTGCTCAAAAGAGGATCAGTGAATCAAATACAATAAAAAAGACTTAGTATTTTAGAAGCACATTAAGTGAACTACCTCCCCTGAGTTTTGTACTAATCCTTTGACTTGGGGAGGACAGAAGAGGGAATTTTAAGGCTCAAAGAAGACTGAAGACTTACACAAAATGGCAAAGCCACTGAGCATAAATGCTGAGTTCCTTGGTATTCTAATCTGTAGATTTAACCTCCCTCTTGGGTTATGATGGGATTGCTGGTATAACTGAAAAGCAAAGCCCAACTTCTTCCTATTCTTAAAATGGGCACTGTAACGTCTCTTCTCGAATATGTTTTATGTTAGGTGCTCAAAGGCACTTCCTTCTCTAAAAGGTATGAAGTGTAGTAAAGATAACATCCAAACATTAATCTAAGAAACAACAGTCCTGGACGGATGTTGAAGGCTCAGCTAATATATTTCTTTGGTCTCAGGCCATACCTTAACATTTAAATAGAAGTACTTAATCTCATTCCTAAGGATAGAAAGAGCTAGGTTACTCACATTGCATTTATTGAACAATGAAGGAAAAAGACAAGTAAATATTCATTTTATTATTTAATTTATCGCTGTTTACCTTGAAATTACCATCACACAGAGCTAAAATACAAACCAAGTATTTTTGTGTGAAGTTGGCCAGGGCAGAGGCTAGACTCTTAGAAGAGATGGAAACTAATTCAACACAAGGATCATTTCAAAGGCTATTAAACCTCAGACTTTTTCCCCTTCAATGTATATTTTTTCTTTTCCTCTCCCACTTTTAATGCAGTTTTAATTTTTTGTTAGTACCTGTTTGTATTACAAAAAGGTTACATTCCTCATGGAAAGTTGGCACATGTATATAACACATCTTAATTCTTTTTAAATCTTCTTTTCCTCTTTCAACCTGTCAAAGATTAAAACTAGACCCTTATCATTCACCATGCACTAAACTAAAATCCAAGTGGATCAAAGATCTAAATATTAAAACAGAAACTTAAACTTGGTCGAAGATAAGTCAGGCAGAACTCTCGAAGACATTGGCATAGGAAAAGATGTTTTATGAACAAATTCTCAGTAGCATGGGAACTAGCACAAAGAATCAACAACTGGTATTTCATGTTAAAAAAAAAAAAACTTCTGCACTGCAAGAGAAACCACCAACAGAGCTAAAAGACAAGCTACAACGCGGGAAAAATTTTTACCAGCTGCTCCTCAGACAGAGGACTAGTATCTGGAATATATAAAGAACTAAAAAAAATCAGGCCCCCCAAATATAAAGACCCAATTCAAAAATGGACATCTGAAATGAACAGACATTTCTCAGACAAAGAAATAAAAGTAGCAAATAAATGTTATGAAGAAATGTTCAACATCACTGGTCATTTGAGAGATGCAGATGAAAACAACACTGAGATTCTACCTCAACCCAGAAAGAATGGCTGCTATCAAGAAATCAACCAATAACAAATGTTGGAGGGGATGTGGGGAGAAAGGAACCCTTCCCCATTGTTGGTGGGAGTGCAGACTGGTGCAATCACTGTGGAAAGCAATATGGAGATACCTCAAAGAACTAGGATTAGAGGTTCCATTTGACCCAGCTATCCTCTGCTGAGTATCTTCCCAAAAGAATTAAAAGAATCATACCACAGTGATATATGGACATCCATGTCTATAGTGGCAGTTTGTAATAGCTTAAACTTGGAAACAGCCCAACTGCCCATCACTTGGAGACTGGATAAAGAAGATATGGTTTTTCTATAAAGTAGAATACTACTCAGCCATAAAGAATGAGAAATTAGAGTCATTCAGAGGAAAATGGATGCATATTGAGGCCATACTCTTAAGTGAAATAAATAAGACACACATGTGAACACTGAATAGTTTCTCTGGTGTAAAAAACTAAAAGTGTAAATGAGATCCAAATTGTATAACTGATAATGTGAGATAGGAAGAAAAGGGCTAATGGTGTAGGGGAAGTGGGAAGGGTAGAGGAAGGGAAATAAGGGATAACAAAAAATACGAGAAAAGAAAAAAATGGAAACAAAGTCTTTGTAAATAGGGGAGGATCAAGCCAGTGAAGGGAGGGCAGGGGTATGGGGAAAAAATGAGAACCAAGACCTGTCATATAAAGGTACAAGAACCCAATGATGAATGTAACTGTACTGTATACTTAAAAAGTACCAATAAACTCAATAAAAAAATCCTCTTTTCCTCCACTCCTTCCCATTTGAAAATGATCTAGCTCCCTACTATTTATTTAATCTTTTCTTTTGCCCTTTATTTATACTTCTTATTTAAGAGAAACCATGTGATTTTTAAGCTTTTGTGTCTGATTTATTTCACTTAATATTATGGTCTCAAGGTACATGTATTTTCCTACAAACGACTCAAGTGTGTTCTTCTTTATGGGAGAGTAGTACTCTACTACAAACAGACACCATGTTTTCTTTATCCATTCACGTACTGACAGACATATAGGCTGCTTCCAAGATTTAACTATTATGAATCGTGCTGCTATAAACATGTATCACTGTTATATGATGTCTTTTGAAAAGATACCCAACCAATTATCAATGGCCTTTTACATGTGTAAAAAGTGTAAAAATGTAAAAATATACATTGATTTAAAAAACGATGCAAAATTAAAAATGAAAAACATTTCACTAAATATGTTTGGGTATATTGGGTTAAGTGAAGTCTATTAAAATTAATTTCACCTGTTCCTTTTTAGTATAGTTACTAGAAATTTTTAAATTATGCATCTGGCTCAAATCATGTTTCCTCTGGGCAAGCCTAAGTTCTAATATCTGCCCTTATCTGCATGTAAGAGTAGGCATATGTTCTCACCGGTACCACATTCAGGGTTAAGAATAACTAGGTTAAGAATAATTAGCTTATGCTAAGTTCATTTCACACATTGAAGATGCATTCCAGTTTTCATGTGTTTGGAAAAAT